GTTTAATGATCATAGTACAAGCCTACATATAATCTAAACAAATAAAAAACACACTTTTGCCATAGAACAGCCATGAATTCTTCATTATTTCTTCCGCTAGTTCATAAGCCTGAAGTACATTTGTGCAATGAGCAGAATTAACCAAATATTTTCTAACACTGTTGCTCCAATATCATAATAAATAAGAGAAACCACAATCAAATCAGTGTAATTTTTAGTTCTCCTCCAATCCTTGAAATTATACTAAGAAAGGGAAAGAGGAAGAACTAGTGGAAAAGACTAGATGAGAAGTAGTGGTTTGCCTTGAAGGTAAGCCCAGGAAGAAGATTTAGCACTAATTCATTGTTTTCCTCTGTGTCAATTCTCAGAAGTGACCACCTCGGCTGCTGTCATCTCAGTTCTTCCAGCAACTGGGTTTTTATTCTGAAATCCACCTACACTCACATTACTACCTGTATCCTATCCAACAGCTCTTGTATCCTCCGTTATCCAAATGCCTACTTGTATTCTTTTAGGGAATCCAGATGTTTGGTCTAAAAATATTTTTTTAATTTGCTACCATCTTAGGTGAAGGCAAATGTGCATATGGGCATATTTTTATTACCTTTTTGAATTCTGAACAACACAAATAACTTGTTTTAAAAATTCAATAAAAAAATTTTGCATTTTAAAAATTGTATTGGTACCTTTTATATATACATAATGACATTCATCATAGGAAATTTGTACCTGTGTATGATATATCTTGATTCCACATTTTTTCCCATTCCCCTCCCCTCCTTTCATCTCCTCTCCCCCTTCTTATTTATGAAAGATATATTTCAATTCTTTCTTCAATTCTATTTTTTTCTTATCCCTTTCTTCCTTTGCCCCCTCCTTTCCCTAGTTCCCCTTCTAATTTGAATGTTTTTTTCCCATTCCTCAATATCTATTATATATTTTGGTCCTTTTTGATATCTCACACCAGAGAAATCATGTGATATTTACACATGTGTGTCTGATTTATTTTACTTAAGAGTGTCGTCTCAAGGTGCATCCATTTATCTAGAAATGTCTCAAGCTTATCCTTCTTTATGGCCAAGTAGTATATATATATATATATATATATATATATATATATATATATATATATCCACATCTTCTTTTACCCATTCATCAGTTTATGGCCATCTGGGCTGGTCTGTTTGTGACAAACAGTTATTGCAAACTGTGCCACTGTAAACATGGGTGTGTATATATCACTGTGTTATGATGTTTTTAATTCTATTGGGAAGATACCAAGAAGGGGAATAGCTGGGTCAAATGGAACCTCTAGTTTTAGTATTTTGAAGAATTTCCACAGTGGCTGCCCCAGTCTATGCTCCCACCAACAGTGGAGAAGGGTTATTTTTTCCCCACAGCCCTGCCAGCATTTATTATTGGATGACTTCTTGGTGATAGCTATTCATTCTATCATCACTGAGATAGAATCTCAGCACTGTTTTAATTTGCATCTCTCAAATGACCAATGATTTCGGACATTTTTTCATGTATTTATTTGTCATTTGTACGTTTTCATCTGAGAAGTGTTTATTCATTTTAGATGCTCATTTTTGGATTGTCTTTAAATTTGGGGTGTCTGATTTTTTGAGTTCTTTATATATTCTAGATATCAGTCCTTTGTCTGAGGAATGGCTATCAAATATTTTCTCAGAATATTCTTTGTTTCTACACTCTGTTAGTGGTTTCTTTTGCTGTACAAAAAGCTTTTTAATAAAGTGAGGCACCAGTTGTTAATTCTTTGTGATAGTTCCTATGATATCAGGGTTTTGTTCATGAAGTCTTTGTCTACACCAAATCTTGCAGAGTTCTACCTCTTCTATCTTCCATCAGATTTAGCATTTCTGTTTTAGTATTTAAATCTCTGATTTAAATTTTTAGCTTAGTGCATGGTGACAGATATGGGTCTAGTTTTAATCTTCAGCCTATGGATAGTCAATTTTCCCAGCACCATTTATTAAAGAAGCTATCTTTCTTCTAGTGAATGTGTTTGGCCCCTTTATCAAAGAGAAAGTGGCTGAGTGTGTTTGGTATTGCTTTTGCTCTTTTAATCTGTTCTATTGATTCTTGGGTCTGCTTTCTTGCCAGTACCATGCTGATTTTATCACAGTAGTTTTGTAGTACAATTTCAAGTCAGGGATTGTGGTGCCACCTTCCTTGTCTTTGTTGCCCAGCATTTCTTTTGCTTTTCTAGGTCTCTTCTGGTTTCAAATTAATTTTAGGATTGTTTCCTCCAATTCAGTGGAATATGCTATTGGTGTTTTGATCAGGATTGCATTAAATCTGTATAATGATTTTGGAAGTTTGACCATTTCACTATGTTGATTCTTCCTACCCAAGAACAAAGGATGTTTTCCTATTTTCTGATATCTGCTTTTATCTCCTTTTTCAGAGCACTCAATTTCCCATGTAAAGGTCTTTTATAGATTAATTTATAGGTATTTCATTTATTTCAATGCTATTGTGAAAGATATGGTTTTCCTAATTTCTGTATCAGTAAGTGTATGCATGTATAACAATGGTATTGATTTTTGAGTGTTGCCTTTGTATCCTGCTATGCTACTGAATTTGGTTACCAAATCTAGAAGTCTTTTGGTGGAGGTTTTGAAGTCTTCTATGTAGAGTTGTTACGGCAGAAAATTCCCTTCTGTCCCAAATATTCCACAAGAGATGCCAATCGCCAGTGAGAACAAAATCAGAGTTTAGGGGCTGGGGATTTAGCTCAGTGGCAAAGCGCCTGCCTGGCAAGTGCAAGGTCGTGAGTTCAGTTGCTGGTACCGGAGAAAAACCAAAAAAACAAAAAACAAAAAAATCAGAGTTTAATTTGAGGCTAGCCACCCTCACTTCCTTTGCCAATCTGGAAGCAGGGGCCCATGGCTAACTTTGCTTCCCCTTATATACATTTTGGTTTCCATTGACAACCGATTGGGGTGTTACATTCTCTGTCCCCGGTGGGCATATGGTGTTTCTCTCATCCTGTTGGACCCCAGGTCAGTTGCAGGTCGCATGTCAAATTGTGATAGATGTTTCCCCCCTCATTATCTCCTTTTTACAACCTATGCATTCCTTTAGGGTTACAATGTTTATCTAGGGCCAGGAGATGGCATTACCCAGGCAGGGTCACGGAGGGTCACCTAGGCCTAGGCGCCCCCTTATCTTGGGGAGACATTCCTGGGCAGTGTTGATCTGGGGAATTAGCTCTTGCACTGTCCTGGGAGGCTTCCCGAGGCACCATGCAGGCTTTTTACCAAACTATTTTTATATAAAATAGTATGCTAAGATTCGTTGCCCCCTACAGAGTATCTTGTCATCTGCAAAAAATGATAAAATAACTTCTTCCTTTTCTAATTTTATTCCTTTTATTTCTTTCTCATTTCTAATTGGTCTGGCTAATGTTCCCAGAACTATGTTTTAAAAAAAGTGAATTTTGCAGTTTTTTAGTGGTATTTTGGTCCTTCTTGTTTTTTACCATTAATTTTTCCCTTTTATATTTGGGCTAGTATCATTATGCTTCAACGTATAAATCAATTGCCTGTTACTCCACCTACCCTAAGAAAATCTGCCTAAATTCCTGGTGGCCACATTTGTGATCTGGTCGCTGATGAATCTATCATGTAGGCTTATGGTCTGCTTTCTTGAAATAGAGAGCTACCCATTTTAGAGGAACAGCTAATACCTATCTTTTACTTTTTTTATCCATTCTTCTTACATATGTATGTGGTATCAGCTATGTGCCACCACTTTTTACTTGTTACTGAGATAATAGGGGAGAACATGCAGAATTATAGGAAGCATGAATCTGCAAGCTACAATTATCTGTGAGGTTCTAAATATGTATTAATTAAGTATCTATTTGGGGACAGACAATCCTTTGTTTAGCATTGTAGGGACAAAAAAAATGCTTTCTTTTCTTCAATACTTTGAAAGCAATAAGCATAAAAAGAATTAACACTAATTGCTGTATTTGGGGGATAGAACTAAATAAAATAGGATTAAAGCAGGATTTGATAAGGCATGGTGATGGCACATTAAGAAGTTTTTGATACATTAAGCAAGTTGGTTTAAAGACAGATGGCAGATTATAGCTGTTCACCAACAAGGGATCTAACATAGGTTGTCTGTGTCAAATCCTTATTCATTTACTAACTTCATGACCATTTGTGGGTTCTCCAAACATTGCTCAATACATCAGTAAAATTCAAATATAAGTAGAGTTTAATTCTTAGATTTGTTCTGAGGAATACATGAAGTAAGTCACATATCTGACACATAGTTTACTCAGTAAATATTCTTCACTATTATTTTATAGGTAATGAAAAAAAAGGAAGAGTGTTTTATGCAAGTGAATAGTATAGCCAAAACTGAGACATAGCATCCTACAATTGTAAGGATAACTGTTGTGAAGGACATGGAATGATCCTAAAAATAACATGCAGAAACTGACGGATGTGGAGAAAACTTCAGCTGAAGCTGAACACTATAGATACATTAGGTTGTAACTACCAGGTGAAGGGGTCACCCCTGGAGAGAAATGGAAGGGATTAGTTAGCCAGATGAAGGTGGAGTTGTGTGAGACACAAAAACATAATGGGTGATATCAGAGGAAATTTTGAAGTAAGAAGGAAGCATGAAGCAATTGAAGTAGGAAAGTCCAGGGAAATGGTTGATTATTTATAGGCAGAATCACAACTTAGAGATGGAATGTAAGAGGAGGGATGAGTAATGACTAGGCTGTAAGAGTAATCAGTGGGCTAATTTGAGAAAGCTTTTATGTTTATTGATGAGTCAGAGATGATGCTAAAGTGTAAGTTACTTCCTCAGTGACAATGAATTTACAGAAAATAATGAAACTCAACCTACCTTTTCTGTCCATATAGTATTACCTACCAACTTGATTCATATGGGAGAGTGTTATACTACCAGACAGAAATGTAACCAATATCTTTGCCTTTTTTTAAAAGGACTTTGCAGAAAAGGAGAAGTCCACAGCAAAGGCCCTGGAAGATGTCAAGGCAAACTTTTACTGTGAATTATGTGACAAGCAGTATCACAAACACCAGGAGTTTGACAATCATATTAATTCTTATGATCATGCTCATAAACAGGTAAGCCAAAGTGTGACAATTCTTCCAATTCCTATATTTCTATCTTCATCACATAACTGAATTTGGCCTTATTTATTATCATCTAAGGCTTTGAAGTGGGTTCTTTTTATGCCTTTTCTTTTTTTTCCCTAAAAAGTTTTTTTCTTTTTAAATATTAGGTGAAGTCGTATTTTTCTTGAGATGGACCATAAAATTAGAGGTAAACGTAAAAGTAATCTTAACACAGAATGACTTATTTATTGTAGAATTGTATTTATATATATGGAAAAATCAAGAACTAGTAAAAATAGTGACATATTCAAAGTCACCAAACAAGGTAGTTGTAAAGTTGGAAGCCTTGGTTAGCCCTAGGATAGAATCTATTATAAACATGCATGTTGTCTCAAGTACCCCAAGGTATAGGAAGTACTGGGCCTTTGGTAAAATATTTTTTTTTTAATTTTATTGTAAAGAGAGTAGTAAATCAGAAACAAACAAACAAAGAAATAGAACAGTAGCAGCATACCAGTATCACAAACATAAACATATCAAAACAAGAACAGTCAAAGTGATACAGGCTATCAAGACAAAATAATACGAATCAACAGTGGTTGTTACATTACATATCGCTATCCTCAACTACATTGCTCAGATTACCAGATGTAAGAATGAAAGATTGCTCAAACCATTATAGGGAATAAGAAAATAATTCTTCGATAAAACCGTAGAGATAATATAGAGTGTCACTAGACAAAATGGTAGGAGTTCACCATTGTAATTCCATTGCATATCGTTACCTTCAAATCAGTTGCTCAGACCACCAGACACAAGCATGAACAATCGATCAGAATATAAAAAATTGTAAGCATTAACTGTTCATTTCAATACACCATCAGACATCAGCAATACAGTTATCACAGCTATTCATGTATATATATATTTACATTTTGCTTTCCTTCTTTCTTTTTTCTTCTTTCCCTCATCCCAGTCGTTCCTTCTTTTGAGCAATTTCTTTCCCTTTCCTATTATCTATTGTAAGTTTTGAGCTTCATAATTATTAATGAAAGGCTACATTTTTGGTGAGTACAGTCTCTTGAAAGGAATGAAAATTTTACTTAATAAATGCACTATTTATTTATTTATTTATTTATTTATTTTCCCAGTACCGGAAATTGAACTCACGACCTCACGCTTGCCAAGCAGGTGCTGTGCCGCTGAGCTAAATCCCCAGCCCCTAGGTACACCATTTAAAACAAAAGTTCAAATAAGCAAAATTAAGTAAAACTGACAGGGAAACATTTCAGTTAATTTTTTTAAAAATCCAAATCATATACAGTGGTACTTCAGTTTATGAACTTAATTTGTTCCATTATTCTGAGGAGGGGCTGGGGATTTAGCTCAGCGGCAAAGCGCCTGCCTGGCAAGTGCAAGGTCGTGAGTTCGGTTCCCGGTACCAGAGAAAAACCAAAAAACAAACAAACAAAAAAAAAAAAACAAAAAAAAAACCAACATTATTCTGAGGAGCATAGCCACAGTCATGTTCGTCACCGGAGGGAGAGTTCACAAAAGGAAGCAAAATTTTGCCAAACGCTTCTGTTTGTGAGTTGTTCATGAACAGACGTGTTTAGGAACTGAGATATCACTGTAGGAATGTGTGTCATCAGTGTGGATATTCTATATACATGACTACTAATACTACTTTCTTTGTCTGTAAAAGAGGAACCCATTGTTCACATCCTGTTAGATTTTGTCCTTGCTGTTTGAGGTATGAAGCCATTGCTGGTGTGGGACTTAGGAGTTGAATACTGTTGAGTAAGAAAGAAATTCTATGTGTCCACAACATTGCTCAGAATTGTGAGAAGGTGCATATGTCTGGTGACAAATGGACTTGACACATTGGAATCTGTGGGTAACTCTTGTGTACTCTGTATCTAACATATTTACTCATAGAGAACAAAAATATTTTTTATGACATCATTTATATGTATTAAGTACGTACTGAATGTGTGGTCTTAGAAAACACATGGCTGCAAAAGACACAGCTTCTATCCTTGTAGAGAAGCATGTGTGTGTATTTTGCTGCATTTTTTTGATAAGGGCAAGATCAATGGGAAAAATCATTTCAGGATTGTAATTGCCAAATCTTGGTGTGAGAAATAATCACCTTGAAAACATTAATAATACAAACTACTCATGTACTCTCATTCAATAATTCTGAGATATGTCCCAATAATTTATAATTCAAAGTGATAAAAATGAAATTTTCAAGCATATAAAAATGAGCTATTTGTTTATCACACAACTTCAATAATAATCTCATTTCATCTATAACACTACCTTACAATCCCTACCCTCACCAATGCTAATTTATTTTGAAACAAATTCCACACACATGTTTCATCTCAAAGCATTTCATCATGTATTTATGCCTAAAACTATAACTATTATCACACTTAAAATTAATCCTAACTGCTGAATATTAATGACTGAACTTATTTCTTTAATTGCCTCATAAATGATTTATAAATTCATGTTCCTTGAAATCAGTATCCTACAATCTGAACTTCTGACATGTCTTTAAATCTCTTTTAACATATTTTCACCTGTAGGATTTCCCTCTTCAAAATTTTACTCCTTGAAATCTGATTCTTGCACTCAAAATTCTGTAGATCTTCCCACATTCTTTTATACTTTCCATGGTTTTCTGTGTTTCCTTTGAGCTGGTGGCTACAGATAAAGATATAGCCAAATTCAGATTTCTGTTTCTTTCTAAGCAAAAAAATATCTCAGAAAGGGGGTCATGTCACACTGTAATAAGGTAGATGATATCTGGTTGTCCGGCTTCATATAACCTTAAACTTAATCAGTGTGCTGACATATTATCAGGCTGACTAATTATCATTATGTACCCACCAGCATTTTTCATGCATGATTTTCTAAACATTGATGATCATTCGCTGAAGTAAACTACCTCATTTAGAGTTGTAAGAGGATGTTCCTAATTCTATAATGCCTTCATTTATTAGATAGAAAATGTTTGCAAAGATGAAAATTTCATAGACATTACACTGTAAGGGACTTTATGCAGGTGATCTTCAGGGTACACATTAAGAAGAAAATACTCCAGGGATTCAGAGAAATAAAAGGTGCATGGAATAATGATATTTGATCTTGTTCTGTGTTTTCCATGTTATTTGCACATACATAACAATATATGTTGAAATGAAGCCCTAATGATGGGATGTCATTCTTTGTAGGAGAAACATAAGAAGTTCAGGTGAGGAAACAGGTCAACAGTAGGAACCTTGTGGGAATTGTGGAAGGTTTTAAACTACAAGGGGCAAATCATTGACATCAGGTGTGCATGGCACAGCATTCCTTGTTACTTGGAATTCTGCTTAATTAGTTTCCATTTTAGCACTTTCCTTAATCTCGTATCCACTGGATTCCCAGCATGAAGATAGAGCAACTGCTTTCAGTCTATTCCATCTACACATCTCCTTCTGTTTATTTATAGACTGGTACTCTGCCTTTCCTAGGCATGGTCCTCCTTCAAACAGTGACAAAGTTTCTGTGTGTTCTACTGGGTTAGTTGTGAAAATGGATGAATTTTGTCCCAACCTTCACAAAGTTACTTAATTTCCAAGAAAGACAAATCATTAGGACTTTAAGTGTTGTAGAGTTTCATGCTTAGACTTGAAAAAGAGCATGCAAAACTAACTTCAGGAGGAAGAGACAGAAATGATCTGAAATTGAAAAGTGAGGAGAAGGCAGCCATGTGTGAAGAATAGGTCCTACATGGTGGAGAACCTACACCAAGACCTGGGGCAGTAACAAAGTATGTTCTGTACAGGAGCAAAGGACTCACTGTGGCTGCTGAAGCTGCCATCTTTGTGGTGGAGATACCTTCAGAAGCCTTCCAAACCACACCCATACTCCTTTTGTCCTTCTTTTGCAATGTGTCTTATACTCGTTTCCTCTCCGGATTCTCATCTTCACCATTTTCATTTCATCTTACCCTTCAAGGACTACCAGGGAAGTGTGCACTCCCTAGCTTCACTATTTACACTATGACAACCTTATTAAGTCCAGATCAGACTTGCCAAGGTACCACACTGATACTATCACTTCTTTCCTAAAATCCTTCAATGATGGGTGAGAGATTATTTTTAAAGGTCTGAGCTGTTTAGCTTGTCATTCAAGACCTCCACAGTCTGGCTCTTGCCTCCACTTCCAGATTTTCCTCCTGGAACTCCAGAATTTTCCTACAGTTTTCACAAGTGCCTTGTGCTTTCCCACCTGCTCCTTCTGGCTCACACTTACTCCTTTGCTTCGTTGTCCTCTCATTTTGGGGCTGTGTTTCAATGTGTACATCTGCATATTTAATGCATAGATTGAGAACTTATATATGGATATTAGAGGAGCTGAGATTTCAGGGCAAACTGTTTATGCACACCTTTTTCAAATCCCTTATGCTCAACATCTATTAATACTACAGAAGATTTTTGTACATGTTTCCCACTTTGGGAAACACGGGAATAATTAAATTTGCTGCAGACCTTGTGAAACTGCTTTCATGAGCAATGTTAAAATATTGTCATTTAAATTCACTTTGGCCCAAAATATTTTGAAAATTAACTCAGTTTTAGATAAAGCTAAATTTAAAAATTCCCTTTCAAATGAAACTGAATTCTTATGTAGTAAATGGAAATATTCATTAAAGTGAAATATGCCAAGAAAAATTTCCCCCAATACAATCCTAAATATATCTTGATTCTTACTTATTAAGAACCCTTCTTGGTAGAAATGATGATTATAATGATAAGAACAGGGATTTGGCAAAAAAAATATTTTGGCCTAAGTAATATAAACCACTCCGATAATTTTCGTTTTCATATGAAGTCAGATAAAATATTTATATTCTCCTGATGAATTTCCAACGATATGATCTTTTGGGTATATGCAGAAAAAAATCCAAGTGAATTCATTCCATTACTCATCAACAGAACATATTACTAGAA